CATAAAATTTAACAAACCTCTACTTAAAAGTTGGCAATGAATAATGAATAATAACCGTCCACACGTATGACTGTTTTGAAATCTTGAGCAAGAAACTGCTAATCTAATTTGCTTGGCCAAACCAAAACTTATGTACCTGCACGTGCTTTCACTCTATAGATTTACTGCTCTAAATCAGCCGTCTTAAGTCTTTAATACGAATGACAAAAATTAAAAAAGTCTACTTTTACTCTTAGATGAAGCTGTAATAAACTTTTTAAACCGATAGCTCACGTGCGCAAACATTTTGGTCAAAATTGAGCGGTTTTTGTTGAATAACTTTCTACGTGTGGCTTATATTTTGCCCAAATTTGACACCTAATTGTGGGTTGTAAAGATTTATCAGTGTGTCAAATTTGAAGAAAAACAACAACATAAAAATTAAGTATGTTTTTCTATCAAATAAATTTCCGTACTTTTGGTGTGAAGAAAGAAAAATAGGAAGAATTTTAATCAAAGTTGGAGATTTTATATCTCATGTATTTCTTAATGGATTGCCTTTAAATTTGGTATGTGAAGTAAAGGTACAGTAGAACACATCCACTAAAAATATCTGATAGTTTGGATTACCACAGTCTGAGATACAGAAGGTGGAATATCACTAAACTATCATTCCTATAATAACACACAGTGTGTCCTGCAGGTTGTTTTGGCCACACGACAAACTACCGTGTGTCTTGATGCTTTCATTTATACACGTGTGCGCTTCGTGACTAATAATCAAACATCCTTTGTACATGATTATGACTGATCATTCTATATATATATATATATTTATTTAGATTTTAAATTCATATAATTTATTAGCAAAAAAAAGAATCCTAACTGTTAACTCTTTAACAGCTTAACCTATATAATTGAACTATGATAATATCTACAACTTTAAATCTGATAACTTACCAATATTTCTTACATACCCCCCAGTGGCACAGGGGTATGTCTGCGGATTTACAACGCTAGAAACCGGGTTTCGATACCCGTGGTGGGTATCTTGTGCTAAATTCCAAGCAAACAAAATTTCGTACATAAGAAATATCCTATAATATTTTATTATAAGAATACGAAGCGCTGATTATTACGACTACTCTCATCATAACAGTAAGAGAGATTATTTTCTAACAGTCTAACTTATTTATGCCAAATATACACGAGAAACAACGTTTTCTTGTATATGCCGGACGTTATCGTGTTTCCCGGAATAAATCTTGGTCCTAATTTGAAAAACATGCTTACGGAAACTTTCTGCCTTTGACCAATGAGGAAATACTATTTGAGTATGTGACTACGCAAGATGACAATTAACCTCTACAGAATATGGTATAGTTTGGACTGCTGTTAAAATAAATTATTTTACTGATATGTACGTTGACAGGTCATGTCCGTTCCACGGGAATAGCAAAGAAAACCATAATCATAACCTTTAAAAAGGAGCTACGAAGAAATAGCCGCCACATTCAGAACAATTGATAAGTATGTGTATTTATATATTTCATTTGTCTGTTAATATTAATTTTGAAATATACCATTATATTTGATTTAAATAATGGGTTTGAAGTTGAGAGTCGTCTATTGTCCCGTTTGACGGCCATATCTAAAAAAATCTAGCTGATCCTGATTGAATTAAGATGTTTTTCCAATTCTAATAAAGTTCTAATAAAGTCAATCCACCACACTAAAAACGTGTCATCTCCATACCTTAACCACACTAAAGTTTTCACCTCAGATGTGTTAAACATCTTCATTTCAAAGTTGAACATAAATAATTCACATAAAAGAGGGGACAGGGGATATCCCATCGCTAAACCTTTAATCTGTTTAAAAAATATATATCCCACCTTACAATTTGCGTTTGACACACACTCATGAGTAAGCTTTAAAATTTCGTTCACCTCAAGCAGAGAAAATTTCTTACTCACCAGTAATCTATTTTCCAGGCAATCCAGAGTCTCCTTAACTGGAACATTCGTAAACGGCAACACAGTGTCAAAAAGAGTCTAATTTATCAATTAATTCTATATTTATCCCGCAAATTTTGTTAACAAAATCAAACGAATTTTCTACTGTATATTCATGAGAGTTTGTTAAAAATGATCATTTCCGACAAATAAATTTTGATAAAGGATAAAATGATGAACTTATATTGTCCACAACTGGACGAAAGGGGATACCAATTTTGTGGATTTTAGGTAGATCAAAGAATCTTGGTAAAAATGAACCTTGAGGAGACGAGGTCTTTCCTTTCTTGTGGTGTCAAAATAGCACAGTTTTCAACTGCCATTTATAACCTATTATGAACCACGGAGGACGTCGACCAAATAAACAAATGAGTTTGTTTGCTTGTTTTGAATTTCGCCCAAAGCTACACGAAGGCTACCTGCGTTAACCGTCCCTAATTTAGCAGTTAAATACTGCTAAATTAGGGAGTCATCACCGCTAACTCTTGGGCTACTCTTTTACCAACGAATAGTGGGACTGACCGTCGCCTTATAACATCCACACGGCTGAAAGGGCGAGCATGTTTGGTGGTACGGAGATTCGAACCCGTGACCCTCAGATTGCGAGTCGAGCGCCCTAACCACCTGGCCATGCCAGGCCCTAAACAACTGAGCCTTCAGACTTATCGATGTGCCAACTGAGGGGAGAGGAGGGTAAAACGAAACAACCAAATATATAAAAATATTTTCTTGAATTGTAAGATCTAAAAAGCTAGTATTTGTTGAAATCGGACAAATAAAATGAATGAGCAAGGGTCTAAATTGTAAAGTTATTGAGGTTAATGGACTTATATTTTATCAAAAACATAAAGTGGACAGTAAATGAACAGACTATAGAAACTTCTTTCCGTAAAGCGGATTTAATATATTTTCTTTTGTATAAAGAACATATTACCATAAATAAAATTCAAATTTAACTTAAGGCTTAAAAAGAAAACGATTGGCAGGACCAGAACATAACTATAATCCAATCAAATAGCTGCATCTCAGAGAAAAGACTGACGAAAAAATTTGAAATGTCTAGGTTTGTACTACGACCACTAGAGAAAGTGAAATTCACACCTGTTACTCAAAAATTCATTTTGGAAATTCATTTGTTAGTGTTGAACCTTATTTAACACACGTACATTTGAAAATATAGTTAGAAACAAAATGACCTTTACTCTCTGGAGAGTCAAGGTCGTTTTTCTTTTTCGAACTTTGTTGTCAAATGCCTAAATTCCCCCAGTATGCACTGAAAAATAATACACATATAGAGAATGTCCTTTTTTGGTAGATTTTCAACGTTATTATGATAAAAAAAACTGAACTGGTATGACACCACAGTACTTTTCCAACATCTTCATAATAAGGAAACTGACCCGCAGACCACCACGGTAGCTTTTCAGCGTTTTTACGATAAGAAAGCCGAATTGGTAGCTTTATAATATTTTTACAATAATGAAGCCGAACTGATAGGGAACTGTGGTTGCTTTCCAACGTTTTTACGATAAGATAGCTTTCCAACATTTTATGATAAGGAAGCTAAACTTCCGGGGCATCGTCATAGGCTTCCAATTTTTTTACGATAAGGAAACCGAATTGACAGGTACCATGGTACCTTTCCAAC